GGACTTGCGGTTTTTAACAAGAAGTCGAAAATATCACTTTTTACCAAAAATGACAAAAATATTCACCAAAATTAGAGAATTGAAGATATCAACATGAAATGAACAAACCTAAGAGAGGTCTATCCAAGGTACATATACACCAAGTATCAAAGCATTCAGGCTTGTAGTTTTCAAGAAGAAGTCGAAAAAGTAAAACATTGACACGGACGACGACGACGGACAATCACTCATATGATAAGCTCCGCTCGACAAAGTCGACAGCGGAGCTAAAAACAAAGTGCAGAAGAATTTGTACAAGGTTAGGTAGTGAAACAAAAGAAAGATAAACTTACTATCACTAGGTCTGTAGTCGGTACAGAGTAGTTTAAGTAATTCTGTTGTATCATGTGGAACTTCATTCATTAAAATTTTACCATATTTCTTCAAATTACTCTCTGCCTGCAAAAGAGTTACACAATATGGTTGAATTAAATGCGGAAATCCTACACCAAAACACTTTCTGAAATAATGTAAAAATAAGTTGTCCTTTTAAAGCAACTGTCAACAGAAATAACTTTCTTTTTATTCGTAATGTAACACTGACTTTGTAATTGTTTGTTAGTGGTGAAATAAATTCATTCATTGAATATTAAACAAACATGTTACCAAGACATACCTCTTCAAATTCAAGTTTCCCAATGTAGTTTAATGCCTTTGTGTAATCTTTTATATCTTCAAGCTGGATTTTAAGATACCAGTCATGTTGGCCGTGCTTCTCGGCTAAAAATAGTGCATGTGCGTAGTAACTAGCTTGTCGACAAACCTGCAGGAATAACAAGTATCATAATCAGAGAGTGGTTCACTACATGTAGTATCGATTAACATTTGGAGTAAAGCCAGTATCAAATATTAAAAATTCTCACCTTGATTGCCGTTTCTACATCAAAATCTACTTCTTTGTCTTTTGTCTATTAGTAAGAAAATAAAAATTACATATAATAAACCCTGAAATACTGTGGAATACTTTATTTTTGCTTGGAATTAATTTTTGCTATTTTTGCTGGAGGAATGAATCAGCGAAAATGAATTCCAGCGAATATACGTGTTTTTCTATATTGTACATTCAACTTGTCAAAAATCAGTGAAAATAAATTCCAGCTAAAATAAAATATTTTACAGTATCTGAATATTTGAATTTCCATGCTCTTAAGCATGTTCCAATACTGGTACGATAATCATTTTGGCTTCTCATTAGTGCCCCAATACTGCTCTAATTCACAAAGATTCCACTCTTTTCTGAATAAAAGTACGATTGCAATAATTAAAAAAAAAAAGGCAGAATCTCAGCAAATCCTTCTTTTCTTATAGCAATGCACACAAATTCAGACCATCAAATAATTAAATTTAAGTCTAAAGATTCCAATAAAGCTCTAAAAATACTATAAAAAGTTTTAAAAAAAAATCACAATGACCTTAGCAAAAGTTCATTGGCCCAATGAGTTCAATAACAGGAACCATTACCATGGTAACAAAATTACCATACTCACCATGATAAATTCATCTAATTTTGAATTGTCTTTTAACTTAGTATAACAGTTTAACAGCAATGTCGTGTGGTCTTCGTTAGCTAACGATTGTTTATGCAACTCTTGTAGATACGCAGTTAAGTTATGAATCCTTTGTGCATCTAAAAACTAAAACATAGTGAAAGTATTAGAACCCTGCCCATAGATGAGTGATCATAAATTGCCATAAACACAGCTAAACTATAATGACCTTGCCCAGGATTATAGTATGGCAAATTTAGGCAGAGGGTGATTAAGGAGGCAATATGGTATCGCCTCGATACCTCGGTCGCGTGGTTTGTGACATGAAAAAAAAATCTTGAGGTCTGGGGCTTCCTCTGACCTAGATTTTTCTCTCCGTCATTGGCTGAATCACAGATTAATGGCCACAGTTCAAAATAGTCATTTAGACTGACCGGAGTCTATGGTGGGTAATTGAAAGTAGTGAATTGCCATTCGCCTAAGTGGTCACGAATTGCCAAATTGCAATACAACCTAGAAACACTATTGAAACTTGCTGTGGGTAATATTACCTAATTTGTTTTTTGTGATTAATTAAATACCAACCTTTCTAATAACATAAGATGGTTCCAATCTACCGATAGTTCTGATATACTGAGATATAGCGCCATCATGATCTCCTTTGCTATATAAATGATCACCATATTGTGTAAATATATCTATTAAACCGTCCAAATCATAATGCTGACTTTTCGCAAGACTGAAAGAAACAAAAATGTAATACTATTTATTTGCAACAAGATGCATCTCAGTGAGTTTGGTGAAGAGCGCCAAGGTAGTATGTATGGAACTGACAGTTTTAACATTTCCTCTTTCAGGATGCTATACTTGAATTGAGATGAGAACCTGGAAGGGGAGTGTTTTTTTTTAATGTGGAAGTATGTGTGATGCACAGATACGCTGAATTTGCAAGGATATAAAATATACGGTTCCATGTATCATTTTGGTCTTAAAATGGCTGCCAACTGGCCATCTTGAATTGGATCATAGAAAAAAAGCATTTGTATATGTCCGATAGAATGTACGATGTATGTGTAAAGTTTGAATGCTCAATAAATTACATTTTCTTTATTGCTATACAGTTCCATGTACCATTTTGGTCTTTTAAAACGGCTGCCAACTTGCCATCTTGAATCGGATCATAGAAAACAAGACATGAAATGTCACAGTCCCCGTTATTTGATTATAAAATACAGGTAGTACAAGGAACATCTGCAAACAGGTGAATAAATATGTACTCTTTGTGGGTACAACTCATCATCAAGTGATTTCCCATAATCTAGTTTTGTACTGACAACTAAAAACTTCCACTGACCCATGTTCAGAATCTCAGAGTACACAAGTGCAACAAAACTACACTGTATTTGTCATACATGTATACTTGCTCAAGAAACTGCATTCATAAATCTGAGTGAACCTTGATGTACATGACTTGTTTGTTAATCAGGTCTTAGTATATTACCAGGACCCTGGGTTTGTTTCAACATCACCACTGGGCATCAGATTCATTCTCATGTC